AGCGCCCTTTCACCCTAATAATCTCGTGGCACAAATCTCAATCTCTTATGAAAACTCAACGGTAATGAACCACGATAGGAGTTTTAAAAGTGAGTGACTCAGAATACCTTAAAAAATCCAAATAATCTGAAAAAGCAGGCTCAGTAGATAGCGCTATGTGACAATTAGTCGACTGTCCAAAAACGCTTCAGCTATTATTTCCTTCTTTTTTTTCTGGGAAGTAAACTGCAGAATAGATCTAAAAGTACACCACCAAGGAGATTGGCACGGAAACGACAATATTTCTCTAATTTGAAGGGAAGGGTTTTCTGTAGAAAACTGAGCCATTTCAGCTATCTACAGACGGAATTAAACAAAATGAAGTTCAAGCGGGGCTCGTACTTACACTGACAAGTTATTGTGCTGTGTACTTTTATCGGAAGGTAACTGAGACTAAATCACTTGCCCTCTGAACGAGCAAACCTGTCCTGTACTAATGCCCAGCGAATCATCGACCTTTCGCCCTGCCTTAGAAACGAATTTTTAGAGCTGACCGAAGTCTACGATTTGAATTACGTCCTCTGTTTGATCACTGAATTCGTCTAAATTATCCCACCTTCCATGGGGTCGCGTCCAATTTGGTCAGCACCCCCAAATTTAATAGTTCTTAAACACTGTTACGGTAAGCCTCGAACGATTTGAAGTGAGCAATAGAAGGTTACAAAGAAGTAATTAGTCGAAAATTACAGGAAAATCATTTCATCCTTCGACACTCTTGACGCATATTCGAAAGACGTCAGATTTCCTCCGTATACTCGTGTTCATAATGAAAAAGGGCTACCGGTTTCAGACGATCGATAGCAATGCACTAAATAGTCGATTCAGACAACCAGTTCGTCGGACATATCTGTTCCCCATGCGTCCTGGGCCAAGGTGACGTACCGTCTGAAGGCTCCATGTAGCCTCGAAGCGCTCCTTGGTTATTCGAGGCTTTCATTCTTCTGAGAAGGGAAAGAACATAAGGATGGCTCGAGCGTGAGATTGAAACAGTAACTTAACATAAGGATGGCTCGAGCGTGAGATTGAAACAGTAACTTATCGCGACTGTTCGCGATCTTGAAATCGTAGATCTCGAGCCGCAGGTGTTCTGGCGGGAACGATATTCTGGACTTTGGTTTTTGAGCTCAGTGGGGGGGGGGGGTATAAATAGGCCACCCAGGAAATCAATAAACTCAGTTCTTCGTCCTATTCCGCCCGAAATAGCTGTATTGGTTTTTCAACTGTTTCTGTTGTTATTACATAAATATTCCGCTGAACCACTGTACTGAACACGAGCATATCAACAACTAATACTAGAAGTCGATATATATATCGGACATATATATCCTATCTGAAAATACTTTAAACTATAACCCCTCACCCCTACCGCTACGCCGCAGTCGTCATGTGGACCTAGGAGGGTTGGCGGACCTACTGCGTTGGTATCCGGAGTCGCATCTCAGCTAACGGCTTGCAGTGTTGGCCGGCCACTGCCCTTCCCTCCGCATAGTCCACCGATCCCATCCCCGCGACCACTGGAGCAGGTCTTGAATTATGCAACTTTTCAAAATTATGTCTTGTAAGACATGTTCCTAACTCATAAAATGTGTCAGATATCATCCATATGTTATATTTTACCAATTATCGTGCTGTTTTTCATTGAAAATATATTCCTGTGAGTCAATTGTAAACAATAGCTAAACACATAAATAAATGAATGAACTAAACTACACCTCCAAATCCTTTTCTTGAAAATTGTTATACGAGTGGAAACTGAAAATGGCCCGAGGTATGGCCACGTGGGCCCATGTCAGTACTGGGGATTCTAGAATAATTTGTGGATACGTAGTCTTGCATAGGTCAATGGGCGTGTCTCGTGAGTGGGCGGAGTCTGGCGAAGCTTTCCAGGCTCTGACGAAGGCGACACGGCCGAAACGTTAGCCAATAAAGTGATCATACCATCTTGGTAACGGCTACAGAAGCAATCCGAGATTGAGACATTTCTCTATTTTGATATTTTGAAAACAAAGGGCCTTGAGAAGAAATGGTGGGTTCACGATGCTGACGCCTCTGACAGCGGTAGATTAACTATGCGAAGACCACTAACAAGATGTGTAATTTGTATTAGAAACAACAAGAAGTTTTCCGAATCTTTTATCCGACACGCAAACACGCTAACTGCATGATTTTTCGAATATTTAGCCTTCTGTTGATTGAAAGCTTGAACCGGCCGAGCAGGCCGGTTTTCACGGCGCGCTATGCTTTGTTATACAAAATCTGCGGTAAATTGTCCATCTTGTAAAGAAAGTGAGGTGGAGGGGTGTGACCGGTGGCTAAAAGAGTCACTCGGCGCTCACACTGCCATGGAACCAACCTCCAAGTGGAACAAACCAGTCCAGAAAACATCACGACGAGTCCCGGAAAGGGATTCGCCATATGGGCTCAATTTGATCGAACGGGTAAAATAAAACAAGGATCCCAGCCGCTCACAGAGAGGCCGGTGCAAGCATAATGGGCTATGTCAAGAAGGTGGAGCAGATGTTGGCCAGGTTACCTAATCATTAATATTCTAAGACCTACGTGACAGATGTTTGGTGGTTGAATTACGTGATTCCTAATGCTTTTCATGCTTACAAGTGAAATCTTCGAAGCTATAGAAGTTTATTTGATTGATTACGTTCTGATAGTTGATGGATCAAAGAGGCACAGCGATCGGGAGCGCCAAACCCCGTATTGCAGTCCTCGAGATAAAATTTGGGCTCAAGCACGGGATGGCCTACTCCTCTAGGTCAAGTGGTAGGAGAATTTGTCTAGGAAGGTATGGACTGGTTTCAGTTTCGACACTGCGATTTCGGAATGTTATTCGGGTCTATTCCAGTTAGGGGGGCATCATGATGCAGTTTCCCCAGAAAGCTAGGGTAACTCCGAGCCAGGGGGAGTGTAGCCAGTCTAGGGGGTGGGGGTGAGGGCAGTCACTTGACATGTGAAAGCTGGAATGTTCGAGTTCACACTAGCTCGCCGAGAAACTGCATCATGATGCCCCCCCCCCTAACTAGACCCTGTTAATCGAATACATGGCGCATCCTGAAAGTAACTGCTCCACGCTAGCACTTTGGTTCCGCACGCTTCTCGTTTTCTCATGGATGTTGCCCGCATACAAATATTGAATACTTTATTATATTTTACAATATACTATGTACACATAAATAAACAAATCGATTCGAATATCAGCTTGATTCTCCTTGCATCAAACTTTTAATGTTCGCTTGTAAACCCGTAATGACAAAAAACAACCCTAATATGGCATAGAAACAATCCAAACCAACATATACAGATACCCTGAGTGTTGTGAAATTCGCCCGCCATTCCTCAATAAACACGACCACTTCGAGTATTGCCGGCAGGACCAGAGCGAGGAGCATACCAGCAGTCACACCAACCAACGGGATTATCTGGTCCAGATTTGGTATCAACCATGCCAAGCCCACTGAAAAGGCATAATTCAAAAGCTGTTGCGATCATGCTTCTGGTGTAAGCCATGCACTTCTCAAAGTCAATGAATCGTCCACTTACATGCGACAAACACTATCGAGAATCGGAACAGGTACTCGAGTGCGATGATGTAGGCTCGTTTGGTGTTTCGAGCTCGTAGAGGGCGCTTTGCCATCGGCCAAAGCATTTCCACTATCGGGTATTGCTGGATAAGGAAACTCGAGAAAGACGACGCACAGAAGCATGCATTTAACGGAGAAGTTCAGTCTGAAAGACGAAAATCGAAAATTCTGGAATTTCGTAAGCTTTTAGGTCTTTGGGTTCCGAAATTCGCTTTCCGGCAGAAAACCGGGTTTCTACACTGGCGCTATGAGTTCTTCGGTAATCTTCAGTAGGACTGCTACAGGCGAGACGAGCTCGTCACGGTCCTACTGAAAATCACCGGAGAACTCATTTTTTCCTAGAACTTTTCTGTCAGGCTCTAATGCATCAGAAGGCGGAGAGAAGCACAATAGGCAAACTCAGGGCAATCACAGCTAAATTGATTAAGGTCAGATTTTGAACAAATTTGGAGTGGAGATTGTGGGCGATAGTTATTTTGAACAGGCTCGAGGAAAAGGTTCTCTGCATTTTGTAAAAAGCTGGACAAGCAGGGTCAAATCCATCCAATATTCGATCAATAACTGTCAACCGACTCCCTGATCCTTTTAGAGGGGGCTCGAATACAAACCCGGCACCACCGACCATCGAGCCTTGGAGAGTCCGCCTGTACACCCCTTCCCCCACCGGGTGAACTATGCCGCACCATCAGCCGGCTGTTTTTCTATAGTATTTGATTCGCGGACGCAGACGATAGCTCCACACTCCGTTAGAGCCGAAACCCATCTGCCGTCACCAGCGACCGCCCCCTCCACTATCAGTCCACCCACTTTGGCCTTATTCACACTCCCGGTCACCCTCGAATAACACCACTATTGAGAACTGCATAATGCATGGTTGACCCTCGGAGCCACTTTTCGTTTAAGATGTTCGAAAACGGGCTAATCCTTCCAAAAACTTACGGTGTATCAGACAGATTCAGTGTGACACTGCCTTGGACTTGATCCCCATAGGTGATGTAGCCGTAGAATCCACATGCCGCGTAGATCAACGTTACCAAGGAAACGCCCGTAGAAAGAACACCGTTGAAGCCATCCATGTCTTTCGGATGCTTCATTTTGTTCTCCAGTGGGAGCACCTGAAAAGCCTTTCATGGTGCCTTTGCTGTGAAAATTGCAGTACAAACAAATCTGAGCATTCATTAATATAACTCATAACCCGCGAGGACACCGACTGCAGAAAATCGGTAAAAATCGTAAACTTCTCGATTAACTTTATGTGGCATTTGTATGTTTGCTGTATAGGTGGGACAGGCCCTGCTGAATGTGATGGGTGATTTTATGATCTTTCAAAGATTCTGAGCCAACACGAGAAGCTAATATCTTGTCAACTAAAGGTTTCCTCACATTACGCACCCTTTACAGTACCGTAATCATTGCTTTGGTTGGTGTACTCCATACTTCCACAAAATTCTCTCCAGCTATTAGCTTTGGCTCACGATGCAGCGATTAGTGCGCTAACCCCATGCACGTAGGTCTAGAAGAAGTAACGGTTGTGGTCCAACCCATGCTATCTAAGTGCACCATCATCGTTCCAAGCTGCTTATTGATCGTCAGGAGGACCGTGCAAAGTTTTAAATCCCATTGCGCTGACCGACAAAAATGTCACCACCATTTGTAGTTATGGTCAAATGCTTGGCACAGTCGGAAAGATCAGCGTCCATTATTCCATCATTTTATAATAATCGAACCTACGTACCATAGCTTGTCCTTCAAGTGAGTACAGGATCGAGCCAGCCGCCATCACTACTCCGTTGACATTAGTGACCGCAGGCAATTGCGAAGTAGGAATGTGCTGTGCAGTGGCCAGTTCCTGAAATTTGATAGCTAGGATTCTACCAGGCCATCTCCGTCCAGCGCCGTAAAAGTGACCAATGAAGTCGCTTTTCATTGAAAAACCTCGGCATGGTGTTACCTAACATGGCTGAACTACTGTTTGGAAAAGGAAAAGAGTGACTCACGTAGAGAATTATCGACAAGCTTGCTGTCATGAGAACGTTTCCGAACAGGGATACATACGATAGGACGAAAATACTGCGTACCAACGACAACACCAGGAATGCCGGCAGAGCGAAGGCAAAGTAGTCGTCGCGAATGAGGCCGTTGTCCGGCCAGATTTTGTCGACTATCCGAAAACAGAATCATTTAGAAATCAAAAATTTCACGATTTTCTATCGAGTCCATACTAATGCAACGATTGTTAGTGGTAGCTGAGGCTCCTTGGTGTGTTTGGGAAGTGGATCAAACCACAGGTTGTGAAACAGTCCCTGAGCTTGTTCAAGGGGGGTCCCATGATAAGGTAGAAGGTTGAAGTAGATATTAGCAGCGACAAAAGATAAACAAGAACGAATAAGAATGAATAAAATAACGAAACGAATAAAAAATAAGAGAAATAAAAATTTAAAGAAGGGTTATGCCCTGACGATCGAGTATGACCGCGCCCGGCGTCGCTAGCGCCGTGACGCCCCTCCTGCCATCTGATCCAGCCGCCTAGCAGAGAGAGTCGTGTTGGGTTGACACCGATGAGGCAACCTCACGCGAGAACAAAGCGGTCTGAAATGGGGCCTCATTCTCGGGCTCTAGGTTGTTTTCCTTGATTTTTTCTTCATCCCTGCATCACTGACCGCCTCTACCTTGATGTCTGGTGGGCTTTCTTTCATCGTGGACTCCGCTTTGAATGCTTTTGAACAATATTCACACCAACCTCTGGCGTGATGCATCAACGAATATTATGTATACACTGCAGATTCCAATTTGCAGAGGAATATACAGACAGGCAATTGAGACGAACCCGGCGAAATAATTGAATTTTGCCGCGATTTGGCCTGGAGGGGGATATCATAAAATTGATAGATGGCTTATTTTACAACACTTGCGACAACCTGATAGTGCTTTAAATCGCACCAATGGTTTATAACTGCTTGCAAACGCCTCCTCAGCCATCTGGCCATAATCCAACGGGCCACATTTATTCCTAAATATCGGCATGATTCCTCCAGCTTTGGCTTTTATTAGAAAAAAAGTGCACATAATATCGGTCTTATAAGTACCACATTTGATGTCGATATCTGGACACCGAATTAAGTTTTGTCATATTATTGGTTAGTACTATTTCTTTTTTTTTGTATTTGGTTGTTAAGGCAAATGTGGGCAGTTATAAGTTGGTGACACTATCAAGACTTTCTGAGTTGGACCTCCTGTCTGTTCGCCTAGACTGTCGAGTCCCCTTTCCTCGGGGTTGATTCATAGATTCCAGTCACCTGGCATACGGAAAACACTTGATTGACTTGACGGCGGCTGAGGGCGTACCATACGCAAAAGTGATTGGTTATTGATGATAGAAAGGTCTGGTGTTTTTGGGGGAAATTTCATCTCACATATCCTTGAGGGCGGTCATTTCCCTAGCGATCGTATACATTAGTACCATTTCAAACCTTATTATTCTTTGGAATTTAATTATATACATATATATACTTTTCAAAGTATGAATAATGACTAACTGAAGCGAAATAAAAACAATGACATGGGAACAAATAAATTTTACCTTTTGCAAAGGAATTGAGCACTTTTCACTATTTTAACCATACATATAATTGACACAATGCCGAGTAGAAAATCGATACCGAACGAGGCCTGAATGAATGTTGAGTTTTGGAGGTTTCATAAAAAAAATAGCAAGTAATGTGAAAACGCGGGTTTCTCTGAGTTCCTTTGGCAGTTCCTGATATTGGAACTATATACGGCTCAAGTTATGCGAAACCCCACCTCCGGCAAAAACCCTCCCTCCCTAGTTGGATAATGGAAACATGGATAAATTTGCAAATCGCTATAAACCATACAGCACGTTCATTGACAAATGTTCCCAATGCAATTCCGTCATCGCCGCAAAAATTCGCCACAACCCCGATAAGCTACGTAATATCGCGTGTGTTCCCAACTTGTGGCATACTTTGCGGGGGCAAAAGCAAAGCATACGTTGATGTAAGGGAGTTGTCGAGGGTAAAAAAGAGCAACAGTCGTCAAAAGCTCAAGAGGCACTTTGCAGGTAATGGAAGAAAAAGGATAGACAGACGAGTCAAGACAGGCTGTATTTTCGACTGGACAGACGGAACAACAGGAGAAAATAACACGGAAGGAAAGCGAGGCGCGCACGCATGCTAAGAAAAGACCCTATGGCAGATAAAGAACAGTAATTGAGTGATGTCAGAGCAAGATGGAATAATAGATAGGGCAGACAGAAATGTGGGGCGAGAAGGCAGAGACAATGAGAACGGAAGAAACAGGTTATAGAAAGGAGAGAAATAACAGTAAAAATTATTACCAAAGTCACTTGTGTGAAGGCGGAGCGGTACGTGAGGCAACCGGCCCAACCAGTCCTTCATTAGATTCATGAGTGCGATGTTGCTCTCTGAAAAACCAATTACGGCGATGTTTGGTTTTTGCGGGGCATGAACAGCTTAGGTGACCCCTGGTAAGCGAAGCAATTCTGAGGCCTTCTTACCGATATTTTCGTCTCTGTCACTTTGGGGGCTTTTTTCAGACTGATGACCGCGAGAGCGCAGCGGAGTTCGACTTATTCTTGGTAGGCTCGTGGGTAACATCGCTAACTTAGGACAGAGATCATCTGAAAAAGCCAATTGGATTGCCTATTGCTGTATGTCAGATGACGAGTGGTGGCGCTATTATTCAGCTGATATATCAAGACAAAACGGACAGTGCCAAAGTGACAATTGATACGAAAAGAAAGGATTCGATGAGAAAATCTGCGCGACAAGTGTTTTTTTGATACCTGTTATTTCTCTTCTGTAATTCTTGATTATATCTTATTGTTTGCAGTCAGTGGTTGGACGACATGCACTCAACCCTCACCAAAGTCTCGAATCAATTGGAAGAATGCTGGGTAAATGCAATGGCTGCTGATAATCAGAATATTCCAACTTTACCGGGTGTTTGTTTTTTTTTTTTTTTTGTGTTGTGGCCCCTCAGTATCTAAGATATTTAGTTATCTGATTTGTGCGAAAACCTGCGTCGTATTAGGTCTATGCATGGCGAATCGATCCTATCAGCTGGATAAAGCATGAGTACGCTTGAAGAACTGCCCGTCATCGCTCTCAGAGTAACATAACAATGGATCATGTCATCACGGAATACATGAGGATCCAAATATTAAAGAAAGAGGACCTGGTCAGATTAAGTGTGGATAAACCTTTCACCTGAAGGTGACGAACAAAAATTGGATGTAATTCAGTTCAATATAAACAAGTCCAATTTATGAACAACCCTGAGTGCGGAAATGCGGAATGAAGCAATTCTTCCAGTGAAAGGAAAAGGAGATTGATCCGCTCTGCAGTCGATGGCCTCCCTAGAAATCGTTCACGTGCACGATGCGATACAGGTGGTCGGCGTCGGGTCTTTAAAGATGCGACTGCTGCATCAGGCGGTTTCCGCATCGCTTCCTGGAGGAGCCAAAATAACTTTGAGTTCGATGATCAGAGCCGAACCTCACTGCATTTGATCGCGCGGTTAAAATGTTGTTTAGAACCACCTGTCGCGATAGACCTCATTAAATGTTAGAACTGCAACTTCTAAGTAATGATAGGCCTTCGATACCGGTTTAGGACCCTATCGAAAACAGGGGTATTTTCGGTCAACAGCAGCGGATGGTCCACGAAAAATCCGCCCTATCTCATGGGTGATGAGATTGGTGGCATTTATTCTGTCCATAAGAACAGCAGACAGTTATGAGGGGTTACGATTTATGCCACGGCAATTATATTTCGGAGATTTTTACACGAAAAAATACAGAAAATAGAAGTATCATAGATAAATTTGCTGGGGAATGAGCCCGCTTGGCAAAGAGAGCACTATTAGTATAGCGCGTTAGCCATTTAAGTTGCTATTTATTTATAGTTTATTGTTTTATTCAGTTGTTGTTGTTGAGATGACGTTTGTTTTTCATACCTCCATAATAAACCATTGGGGAGCAAAAATCGCGGGAAAGCAGAAAAAAGCGTGCTAGATTGTACCAAAATCGCTCCATGATGTGTTCTGAAATACTCTTCACTATTTTCTTCTCTTTAGTCTTTCTACCGGAAACAAATAAATAAATGAAACCAATGGGAGCTGTTTTCATTGATTTTTATTCATTTATTCCATTCCATTTATGGGAACAAAGCGAAGTCCGAAAAAACTCGGAACAAAGGAAGGACATTTGACCAGATTCCACGGCATGAATTCCATAAGGCCGATGTCAGACTTTGCGAATCGCGCGATTCGCTAGCGTCCGCGGTCGCGTTGCGGTACCAGCCAAATCGCTCGATTCGCAAAGTCTGACATCGGCCTAATGTTGACTTTTTTGCGTGATCGCCGTAAAATTGTTAGCATATGACGTAAACTGCAGAGAATTGTTTTACTTGACGCCAAAGTCCAACGATAGGCCGTCTGAGCAGACAACCAGCTAAAAAATGAACCTGCGTTTCTCCTCAGTCCAGTACTCCTGACCCGAAAACGAGTCGTCCGCGTGCGGTTACACCTTTCTGGCGGCCGAGTTTTTCGTGGGAAAAAACGCTCCTCACCTATTAAGGCCTAATCCGGGACTATCACGGCATTACTCCTCTTCTCTTTTGCGCATAATTGGTCTCACTTGAACATAAATGTGCGCCAAATCCGGGTTTGTTCTGGCTACGTCAGCGAAACAATCTTACTACGACTCCACGAAGCGCGACAACTTGTCCCAGCAGTGCTTATGGGAAAAACGGGTACCGACAGGAGGCCCGTCGCGCGGCAAGAAGGCAGAGTCAGCGGACGAGTCGCGCGCGTACTATAGGGATTTCGCGTCAAGTTGAAATAGAATGTACCATTGTACGTCCTACATCGCACACGCTGCAACTC